CAGTTTGTTCCAGGCTTACTTAATAAAAGGTCGAGTGGATAAAGAATGAACAACAGGTAAGGGAGATAAATGAAATAAATTAAACATGTCCCAATGCTGACAAATCTTATTACAGTTATTTTAATATACATATTATCTCTAAAATACTTTGCAGTTGGGTAAGAGTGCTGCCATTTACAATTTGCACATCATCATTATGCCCCAGGAGCTGTCAGTGTTCCTACTTTGATCAGCTTTACCCAAATGACAAAGAGATCATCTCTTCACCAAGCATGTTATTCTTGAACTACTCTGAGCTGAGAAGTGGTCTCCTCTCCTCCTTCCATTCTGAACCATGATTTAAAGGGCACTCATTAGTCTCTGAGACAACCAAGCATGGAAAACAATGGTGTTTATGAAATCAAACAGTTGTTGAAAGCCTTATGCTTTGAAAGGCTTATGCTTAACTTTGATGGATGTAAGTAAATAACAAAGAATTCCATTTCAGGATGATTATGTCTGTGTTGATATTTATTTAATAGCTTCACTTTGAAATGGTTCCTTATTTTATTGAAGTAATAGATTATTTTAAATAAAATACAAGTTCCCAACTAATAGGATCCTAGTATATGCATGTAAGATGACATAAACTTGGTTTTGAATGATATTTGATGATGTTTGTATTTCTCATTCATTCATGCATGTATCCATTCAACAAATATTTATGAAATATCTATATGCCAATTAATTTTCTGGTGCTGGCAATATAGCAGTGAACTATATCAAATCATTCCCTGCCTTCATGGAGCGTACATTTTAAATGCAGTTTTGAATAGAAAGTTGGCAATACCATCAGTTCATTAAGTGAAAACTGAAACCTATCTATAAAAACTACATCATCCAAAATGAGGATGTCTGCAATGTAGTGAAATGAGTGAAGAACTTTAAAGACAGTCTTTGGATCTTTACTAAAGTATAATGAAACATATATAGTGGTAATGGGACAGTGAGTGTAGTTTATGTGATTCATAAAGATACACACTATCGAACACAGTATATTAAAAAAAATTCTGTTATCTTCCTGAATTCTCTCTTCCTGTTTCTACTTCAGTAAATTTGCTACTTTGCTGCAAACACTATGATGAACTAGGGGGCCTATATCTTGCTCTTCCTTCTTTCCCTTTATACTGGATGGTTTGTCCGTAGTACTGAAGATGGCATGACTTTTCCCTCATGAGGGAATCAATAGGGACTTTGCACTTATTCCAGAATGTGACTGTGAGAACCACCAGTCAGTAAATTGGCTGCTTTGCTATAAACACTATGATGAACTAGGGGGCCTATGGCTTGCTCTTCCTTCTTTCCCTGTATTCTCGATGGTTTGCCCATAGTACCGAAGATGGAATGACTTTTCCCTCATGAGGGAATCAAAAGGGACTTTGCACTTATTCCAGAATGTGACTGTAAGAACCACCAGTCAAATAAAGGGTTTACATGAAAGTAAATAAACTTCGATTTCAAAACTACTTTTAAACAAGTTTGGCTTTATACACACACTTTGTGTTCTGTAGTGTGTATGTGTGCTCAGTCCTATCTGACTCTTTTTGATCCCCTGAACTGTAGCCCACCAGGCTCCTCTGTCCATGGAATTTTCCAGGCAATGATACTAGAAATGGGTTGCCATTTCCTTCTCCAGGGGATCTTCCGGACCCATGATCAAACTCAGGTCTCCTGCATTTTGGGCTGATTCTTTACCATCTGAGCCAGGAGGGAAGGCCCAAAATGAAAGTTGATCAGTTGCTCAGTTGTCTGTGACTCTTTGTGACCCCCTGGACTGTAGCCCACGACATCTTCTGTCCATGGAGTCGTCCAGGCAAGAATATTGGAGTGGGTAGTCATTTCCTTCTCCAGAGGGATCTTCCCAACCCAGATCTCCTGTGTTGGAGACAAGATTNCTTTTTAAGAAATCTCCACACTGTTTTCCATAGTGGCTGTACTAATTTGCATTCCCACCAACAGTGTAAGAGGGTTCCCTTTTCTCCACACCCTCTCCAGCATTTTTTTTGATGTTTGACAGAAAAACAACAAAATTCTGTAAAGTAATTAGCATTCAATTAAAATTTTTTTTAAAAAAAGAATAGAAGATAAAGCTGAAATTGTACATTCTCTGAACACCACAAAGCCCTATGATTAAAAGAATAAAAGTACATATTATAGTATCAAAGTCAATATAACCTATGGGTTTATAAGGCACTAGACAGTTACCAGATCTTGCTCTTACAGATAGTTGTTTCTATTTTAATTTTATTGAAAGACATGTCACTTTTAATAGATTAATTTGCTGACATAATATAATACATATTAAAAAATAAAAGATTCCTCTGTATTTGATTTTTTACCACCACTCATTTATTCCATACATATTTATTGAACCTTCCTCTGTTCAGGTGCTGTTCTAGAGCTAGGATTCAGCAACGGATGAGAATAACAATATCACTGCCCTCATAAAATTACGCTCTACTTAGAAGATTGAAAAAAGAACATAGGAATAGGAAGAATTCATATAGAAATAAGATAAGATATGAATATCAGATGATAGAAGTGCAAGAAATAGGGGAAAAATTAAATTGTGAAGATCAGAGGATGTGGCAAGATAAGGGGGGCTAAGGGAGAGAGCAAACAGCAAAGGTCTCAGTGAGAAATCCAGAAGAGGGAGCGAGCTCTGGAGTCAGAGTGAGAAGCACCTCTGAATATGAGTATGCAGATAGAAAATCCTTAGGCAGGAGTGTGTCAAGTGCCTGGGGCAGCCAGCCTAGAGAAGGCAATTGTAACCCACTCCAGTATTCTTGCCTAGAGAATTCCATGGAAAGAGGAGCTTGTTGGGCTACAGTCCATGGGGTCACAAAGAGTTGGACACAAGTGAGCAGCTAACACTATGCAGGAGTGTGTCAGAAGTGCGTGGGGCCACCAACCTGGGTGGAGCTGCTGAAGAAGTAGCAAGAGGTGGTGAGGTCAAAGAAGATGCAGAGAGCCAGACCGTATTGATGCTTGTGTGTCTGTCCACATTTGGGTTTTACTCTGCAGTGAGACCCAGAGATACAGAGGAATGACGTGATCTCACTTCTGTTTTTAAATGATGAGCCTCTTCCCATCCCTTTTACACTAGCGTGGAGCCCCGCAAATAGTTCTAAACTTGGTTCTTGCTGTCTGTTGCTCAAAATGGTGCCTCTGATTTGATTACATTTTCTGAGAAATGGAAAATATAATTAAACATGACAAATTACAGTGTATTATTTTGACTGAATACTGCTGGAAATTAAAATAGAAGTACTATGCATCCATATGTATATGGATGTAACATATAGGGCTTCCCTGGTAGCTCAGCAGTGAATAATCTGCCTGCCATTGCAGGAGACACAAGAGACCAGAGTCTGCTGCCTGAGTCACAAAGACCCCTTTGAGAAGGAATTGACGACCCACTGCAGTATTTTTGTTTGGGAAATCCCATGGTCAGAGGGGCCTAATAGGCTGTAGTCCATGGGGTCGCAAAGAATTGGACACAACTTAGAGACTAAAACAGGAACAACAATATAGCATATACATTGCTATTTCTTTTTGTTAGCTGCTCAGTTGTGTTTGACTCTTTGTGACCCCATGGACTGTATGTAGTCCACTAGGCTCCTCTGTCCATGGAATTCTCCAGGCAAGAATACTGGAGTGGGTTGCCATTTCCTTCTCCAGGGGATCGTCCTGACCCAGGAATCGAACCTGAGTCCTCCAGCATTACGTGCAGATTCTTTACCATCTGAGACACAAGGGAAGCCCAACATATATATACATAAATTTTAATCTCAGTAGATATATAATATTGTTCACGTAAGGCTATACACTACCACAGGGCTATCACATAGTGGCTATACAATACTCATTTTGGCTGACATCTTTTCCATCTTATTACATGTACATTATAAATACATAAAATGTGCATATTATGTATTTCTCTGTCTCTCCACTTACATACACTCATGATGTGTGTGGATGTGTGTGTGTGTGTGTGTGTGTGTGTGTGTGCGTGTGTGTATATATATATATATATATACACACATAGGCACCCCGGGGGGCACAAATGGTAAAGAATCTGCATGCTCATGATAATTTTTTGCTTTGTCTTCTATAAAATCTGAAAACTACAAAAACAAAGGTTATCTACATGAAGAAAATTATGTCAGCACCTCTTTATGGTGTCAAACCCAGAGTCTATACAAATCTCATCAGTTTGATAAAAAAATGGATGCCGAGTCAAATATTCAAATGTGTGGGAGTTCAAAATACTCAGAAAGTAGCATTTTTTCCCTATTATTATCAGATAAACAGTCATTTAATAGACATGGGTAAATAACAATGGACATCCTAAGCAATTGTGATTTCTAATGAAATATTTGGGGAAAATGGATGTGAAGGGAAATGCTTCTTTTATTTGCTATTGTTTTATATATACTACACATATTTAAGCATAGTTTTAAGAAAGACCTCCACTATATTTAATATATGAAATTTCAATGATTATAGGACTCATATGATTTCAAAAATAAGAAATTATGAAAGTCTTAATGTTATAAAAATATGGTAATAGGGATAACCATGTACATGTTAGTGTTATGGAATATGTTGTAGAGTCCATGAATTTTAGAAACATAGAATAGACATAAGATCTTTAAGAACATCTTTATTCTATAAAAAGAAGATAGCTTGTGTATCTAAACTTTATAGAGAAAATGTGGACTTAAGATTCTATGTGAATATAATTTTATTATAGAAATTTCTCAGGATATAAGTTGATTTATATTTTTAAAGCAATTCTAAATCTATAAAAACTCGTATATAAAGAATAACTGTTTCTAGGTACAATGAAAAGTTAAGTGTTTGGTATGTTTATTATATTACCTTCAAGTGTGCCGATACACATGACAGGCAGGTGTAATTTGAAGACTCTATTAATCATGCTACTCTCCATTTTGCAGCCCCCTCTCCAGTCACCAATGTGAAAAAGGGGAAGATAGCTAAGAACAGCATCTCCTTGTCTTGGCAAGAGCCAGATCGCCCCAATGGAATCATCCTGGAGTATGAAATCAAATATTTTGAAAAGGTGGGGCTAACAGAATAAAAAATATCCTTTCTTCCTTTTCCATGTTAATTTTAGCAACTGCAGTTATACAATTTGTAGAGAAACATGTTACAATTTTAGGTGTAAATCCATGACAGTTGATTTGCATTCATGATTATGAAGGCCCGACGTGTATAGTGAGTGCTCTATTTGTGTTCTGTTGCTGCCAAATGGTTCACGCTGCCGGAATACTGCAATGTAATCTAGCATCAGCTTCACTAGGCTTCACAGCATTGAAAGATAAAGTCACAGAACGTTTTCAAAGTGTCCCAAATGATGAAGCTGTTAACCTTCAGTAGTGACTGCAGTGTACTACAGGGAAAAACACAATCTCATGGCCAGTAACCCTGCATAATACCTATTCTATTTGGAAGTATCAGCAGGTAGCATGTATGTATACCTGATAATTTTAGAAAACCTATGACAAAGGTCTTAACACTGTAGCATAAAATTTATTTTAAAATTTGAGGGCATAAAATTGGAAGTGTATGCTTCGCATTCCCTATAGTTTCTTGATTTCCCTCTTCTTCCCTGAGTTGTTGTTTTGCCATAATAGTTGTTGAAATCTAAAGGCAATAATCATTCTTTTTTCTCTTTTCTGAATCCATGACCAAGTGAGCTACTGATAAAAGAATAAACAGGTAGAAACTAAAGATGCACTTATAATTTCTAAAGCTGAACTGGTGTATTTGGCTTAGATATATTATGTTAGATTAGCATTTTCTAACCTCCACTCCCATCTTACAGTAAGTTCCCTACATATGAACCTTTAAATTGCAATCTTTCAAATATGTGAATATACCCTTGTATACCAGCTGTTATACTGTACTACTGTACTTTTCAAAGTATAGTACTGTAAAATTAAAAATGTTTTATTTTTGTGTTTGTTTTTTATGTATTATTTGTATGAAAGGTATTATAAACTCATTATGGTACAATACCATGTAGGTGATTTGTGTTAATTGGGTACCTAGGCTAAATTTGTGTGTTAGTCACTCAGTCATGTCTGACTTTGCAGCCCCTTGGACTGTAGCCTGCCAGGCTCCTCTGTCCTTGAAATTCTCTAGGCAAGAATACTGGAGTGGGTTGCTATTTGCCTCTCCATTGAATCTCCCCTACTCAGAGATCAAACCTGGGTCTCCTGCATTGCAGCAGATTCTTTAGTGTCTGAGCCACTGCGGAAGCCTAGGCTAAATTTATTGGACTTAAAAACAAGTAGGACTTACAAACGGGCTGTCGGAACGGAACTTATTTGTATGTAGGAGACGCACTGTATTGTGCTTTTTGTACAGACTAGATCTGAATGACATGCACTATCTAGAACAGCTTGAGTTGTAATAGAGCAGGGATAAAAATAGATGAGTGTTCAAACCAGACTCTAAGAGGTGGGTTGGAGACCCTGGCCCAGAAGTGTATGTTCTATGGAAGTAGGAGTAGAAAAGATTGCTGACATAATACTCAGAAGCAGATCACAAAAGGGAAGGGAAGCCACACTTATCCAACTGCTTCTCATAAACTCCCAGAGATATCACTCCTCTCTTAGGAAAGAGTGAAGAGGGTGGAAGTTTAAAAACTCACTTTGCAATACCTAAGAAATTGTCCAAGTTGGATGCTAGAATTAAGAAGGAGAATAAGCATTTTCCTTATACTAATGCAAAAGTGTCATGAGAAATACTGATCTCCTATTAATGAAAGTTACTTAAAATTGGAATTCCGTATATATGATAGATAAGCATTATAAGGAAATACATTGAAACACATTGAAGTAATTCATAGCATTTTTTGCTTGTTTCATCATGGATTCAACAATTTTCTGTGTAAAGATATAACAGAGAATGAAACATAGAGTTTATGTGGGGTGAGTGGGGCTACCTACATCTTTTTTCTAGGTTTTGAATGTCTCTACAATGTTCATATATTGATTTTATAAATGGATAAATAACTCAGTTATTATTTTGGAAATCATTGTCTAAGAATGACTTATTGGTAGCATTAAATGTAACTAAGTGGATTATTAGGGAACATAAATGAAGATATTGATATTTCAGAAAAAAAATAATGTCAAATAACATTATTCACCAAGAATGTTCTAAGAAAATACTTCGATACAAAGCTATGTCGGGATAAGGTGTACAGTGTTTGCTGAAAAAGATAGAGTAAATCAAGTAAAATGTTACAACATTAATATACTTCAGTGATTCCTGTTTCTCTGGGAGTCATGGTCCAAACTGAATTGCTGATGCTAGAAGTCTTCAAATACATGCTGTATTCAAAGTTAATTTGTTAAATTTAGTTTTACATTTCTTTTTTCATGTTTTTGTAAACTTTATCACTGCATACTAATTCAAAGCTAGGCAAATATATGAATTTATGAATTCTTTTGTAAACATTTTAAGTTTCCAGACTTTTATTGTAATTAAAGTTAACTTTAAAATAAGTTGAGATTCATACTGGCATTTTAGAATAGCTATACACCAAAAAAACCTATATAATTGAATAGGGGTTTCCCTGATAGCTCAGCTGGTAAAGAATCCTCCTGCAATGAGGGAGACCCTGGTTTGATTCCTGGATCAGGAAGATCCTCTGGAGAAGGGATAGGCTACCCACTCCAATATTCTTGGGCTTCCCTGGTAGCTCAGTTGGTAAAGAATCCACCCACAATGCAGGAGACCTGGGTTTGATCCCGGGTTGGGAAAATCCTGTAGGGGAGGGAATGGCTACCCACTCCAGTATTCTGGCCTGGAGAATTCCATGGATTGTTATAGTCCATGGGGTCACATATAATCTATATACCTGAATATACATATCTTAGATGCAATAAAGTTTTTCAGCAGGAACAGTAAACATTTGACAATTATTTATTTTCCTGCCTGGTTTTTCTTTACCTGAAACAACTATTCATAGCTGAACCTATGAGTTTAGTGGGGTTTTTTTGTTGTTTATTTTTTTTGTCTTTAAGGAAATTGTCCCTATTTTTTTTCCCCTTATGGGCGACCTTTGATTGTTTTAACACTTGCTTCTCAGCATATGCATGAGTCTCATACATGATATTCCTTAGGAGCAAGGATTTATCTTTTTTTTTTTTTTTCATTTAAGCTGCTGCTTTTGTTAAAACAAATAATTACTCAACAAGTGGTAGGGCAAAGCCCTTGTCTGTTAATATTTATTCTAATTAATCATATCCATGTTGTGGAAATATGTTTGTTATAGTCCATTTTATATAATATTTGTTTCAGTAACATTTGGCTTTATGCTTAATATTTTATATTTAATGCTGTGTTAGTACACTCTATTATCTGTACAACTCGAAGTAAGAAAAAATGATTTTGGGAAAAAAGATTTCTATTCACATATTCAATGAATGAATAAAAGTTACCTAAAAGTTTGCTTTAAAAGCAGCAAAAACCCTTATATATTATTTTGGGGAAGTTATCATTATCTTTTGGTCAGTGTTTTCCTTTTACAGAGAAGATATTAATTCCCAGACTTTTGCCAAGTAAAATTATTGAGCACACCAATAAAATACACAAAAAGTTTTGCTTTTTTTTTAACACTTTAAAAAGGAAAAAAAAAAGAGGGGGGATAATGAGCTTTGATATCATGTATTGAGATGGGGGTCCTGATAGGTTGCCAGGGCTTATTTTAAATCTGCAGAATGATACCACCATTTTATTGGATGGCTCTTGGCCAGACACAGGTGGCAGAGCTTTCCAGGGCTCACACACTTGCCAGCTGGCATTTCTGCCTGTGATTGCCCTGCTCTAATAGAGGTCATTGGGCCTCTCTGCTCCTGCATGGTGATGGGCCCACTGCCACCTCTTAATTAAAGACAGGCAAAGGGAAGCTGCCCTTTGGCAGAGTGTTTGCCAGCTGGCTCCTTCTGCGAAGGCCGTCCCCATGCTGCCTGTGAACAATGTTTGCTAAGCAGCTGGGGAACGTAGCTCATTTGCTCAGCTGGGACATAAAGGCAGCAAAAGCCACTGCCCTAACCAAGGACTTGACAACACTTGGTCGTGGGTGTTGAAGATGTGTGCATAGTTTGTGACATGGTCGAAATTCTGAGTATGATTTAAAGAAGTGGAACAGAAGCAAATTTTAGAAGATACTTAAATGATTTAAAATGTGTATTTATGGGTTTTGACCCCTTAGTATAAGCTTCACTAAGTCCCCTTGATAACTTACTCAACTAACTCAGAGAGACAATGTACAGTTAGATCTGTGATGAGGAAACATTGAGACATACATAATGTTACTAGATAATCAGATGGAATGTTGTATAATTGTGTTCAAGTGATAGCAGATTATACTTTATTGAAGAAACAACATTCCAGTTGCCTTGAAGTGTTTTTTTCTTTTTTGATGAAATTATCCATTTCTATTTTTCTAATACCTAGAAGTTACAATCATATAAGGTTTTTAACTTTTTTTTTTCTTTTGAGTAGAAGAACTTGTCATCATGTTATAGGGGCAAATCAAAACTGTAATGTCCAGAAGATTGTGCTAGGTGTTGTGTATATTATCTCTATTTCTGTGTCCTCACAAAGCTCATAATAAATAATTTCATCCTATTCTAAAGAAGAAAAAAACTTAGGTTGAGTTGCATACTCACATTTACACACATACTTTAGTTAATAATGGCTAGAATTCTAACCCTGGTATTTCTATGCTTTTTTCATTAGGAAGAACATCTTACTTTACATATAAATGTTTATACTTCATGTAAAAATCCTAATTATATCAAACATAAGAGAATCTTTAGTTTTGTCTAGATTTTTTTCACCAACTCAAATTTCCTTCAAGCAAATTACAAATAATAGTGAATATATATTTTAGCATTTCTTACTGAAAATGTCTGATTCAATCACAGCCAAGCTGTGAAGTATATTATTGAGAAAGTCTTGCCCACTCAGTCACAAACTTGAGTATACCCAGAACATCAGTAACTACAATAGCTTATAGAAGCTATTTACCCCTTTTTAAAGGAACACATCAAGAAATCGTCTACTTTTTTACTGCTCTACCTCTAGCACATAGAAGAGTAGACAAGAGGAGATTTTAAATATTTGTGAGAGAAAATGGCTAACATTACTAGGTAAAGTTTATACACTCTAATTATCTACTTTAAATTCTTTGCAAAATTGTAACAAAATTTCCTAAACACTTTAAAGACTAGGCATTTTAATTAATATGTTCATTAAAAATAAAGATAAATTGTTTATGTAAAGTAAATCAGAAAAACCCATTTGGATTAGAATTTAAACCATATTTACCCGGAAAGAAATTTGGATATACTTAACCCTAAGAAAAATTTATATGTTTGAATGTATTAAATGAAGGATGGTGAACTACTTTAAGAGAAGCATATTTATACATTGTATATTTTATTTTTGGTAGCATAGAACTTGGTTAGAAGTTGACTTTGATGTGTCAAACAAGAAAAAAAAATGATTATTACATTAAAACTTGTTTTACGTGCTTTCACATGCATTATCTGTTTCATTCTTACATCTCTGTGAGGATATCCAAGTGCCAGTCTCTACCCCAATTTTACAGATAAGGAAACTGAGGATAAAAATAAAAATGGGTTTCAGTGTCCACATTAAAGATACAGCATAGCATGCTGTAGACTTCAAGGGACAATGAGTGTGGTTTGCATTTGTTTTGTGTGTTCATAGCATTGTCAACATCAAGTAATCCAAATGATAAGTTTGGAGTAGAGAATTCCCAAACTCCCTACTGAGTTTGGCATATTCTTCTCAAGAGTGCTTGAGAAGTGAATATTATATTCATGTTTTCAATTGTTTTCTCATTTAGAAAAAATAAATCCTTTATATGTTGATCCCCTTAGAGCATTTTTAAAAAATACATTTTTCTGCTTATAAAGACAATATTCACTGAAATAGTTAGAAAACAATGATCTTTAGTCATTAACCAGTTATTGTAAGTAAAGATCAATTCTTAAAAAGGTATAAAAAATGTTCGAACTATAAACTATCTTTAATTCATCCTATAATATCAATCATAAATGTAATACATTTCCTTAAGGAAAAGACAAGTTTAGCCAAGAATCACACATAAAAATATAAAGGAAGAGAAAGTTCAAAACAGGAACTGTGTTTCAAATCCTTAAAGATCTAAATTTTTTTATTTGGCATCATAAACTTCAGAGATAATGAGGAGTTATAGATGGTTTGCCTGGAATTTTGTTACTAGTCAAATCAGGAATAGTTCCTCTTTGTTTCACTTTCTAGAACTATCTTTCCAGTGATTTTTCCCTTTCCTCTTCCATCTCTGTTCACTAGTAACCTGGCCCAAACACATAAAAGTGAAAAACTAGAACTTTTTTAAAAGGAAAAAAAAAAAAAAACTTTGCTTATTTGCATTTTTTCTTTAAAATGTCATTTCAACATAGTGAACTGAAATTAAACTTCTCCAGTGAAGTACTCATTCCTTCTCCCAACACCTAAATATAATTAGAAATCAAATTCACTAAAGATAAAAGATATATGTCTTATCTGGCAGTACATTGGACATTGTAACCTTTCTCTGTAAACAAGCATCGTATTAGATGCACTCTAATAAGTCATTTATGAGAAAAACAAGCACACAATTAACAATACAAAATAGAGTCTGTAAAATAGTGTGTCTTTTAGAAATTGTATTTTTAAAGTTTACATATCTATTTCTGCCCAGGGCAAGCGGTGGATGGGTGGAAAACACATCCACCATCTTTGAGTTCTAGAAAATAGCATTCTGTTTAACTAGCACTCCTAGGATATGTAGGATTTTTTTTCTCTAAAATTATCTTATTTGCACTAATATCAAATCTGTTAGTTTCTGAATCCTTTTCTCATCTCTGACTCTAAATTTTGCCATCATTAGTAATTCATACGTTGTCTTCTTTTTATCTTATCTACATGTATGACCCAAGGACCAAGAGACCAGCTATACAATTATCAAATCTAAAGAGACATCTATAACTGCGGAGGGCTTGAAACCAGCTTCGGTGTATGTCTTCCAAATTCGGGCACGCACGGCAGCAGGCTATGGTGTCTTCAGTCGAAGATTTGAGTTTGAAACCATCCCAGTGTGTAAGTCATTTTAATTACTGTCAGCTCATGTCTCTCTAATGGTTAGCAGAGAAGAGTCAGTGGATCAATACTCTCCCTGGGCATTCTGTCAGTGTCCTGCTCCTCCTCCGTCTCCCAGGCATGACCCCTTCAGGTGAGAAGCATCTGTCGTACTATTACGGTAGGTGAGCGGGTTAACACACGGCGATCCCCACTCCTCATTGCATTTGGTCTACAGGGAGATGAAACATCGGGAGATGCTTAAGAACTGTTTAAACCTTGCTTTTAAAGACTCTTTCCACTGCTGCCATACTTTATTGAATTATTGCCATTTACTTTTTACTTGTTTTATTGAACTACCCTACTAAGCTTAGTCTTTCTATGAAAATTCCACAGGGAACTTTCAGTAGTATTGAGTTTGGCAAGAAAATGGTGCTTTCAAGAACCAATCTGATTGTTTAAAAAAATCAAAATCTCTGGCAGCAACTCTGAGTGGATGGTCTGGAAATATTTCTGTAAAAACCTTTCTTGTGCCTTTTTTTTCCCCCAAAATAGTAAAAATAGCAGAAAGACTTTTCTTTAAAGTCAAGCAAAATATTTAGATTTACTTGTACTAAAGCACACATTAAAAGCAGATGTAGCAGAAGGCAATAATCTGCTGTATTTATAGATGAAAAAAAAGACACTATTAAAGTCTAAATAGGAAGAAAATAACAGTAGTGTGAAATGTCAAGTATGTGTAAATGTATATGTTTGGACATATGCAATACATATATATATACATTTTAAAGTCAAGTTATATAAGAATTAGTGATTGTAAAATGAAGAAATTAAGATGCATATTTCCTTCCTTGGAATACCAACATAAGAGCGTAGTTATCAGATTTACTTTGAAATGATTAGAATTATTAAATTTAAATTTTTTAAAATCTATATAATACAGATCTTAAGAAAATGAAGATATACTTCTGCTTAAAGCATGTTTAACTGAATTATCTAGAAAATAACTTTTATTATTTTAACAGTAACTTTCTAAGTATTGCTTCACTTGATTTTATATAGATTAGAGTGCCATTGTGGAAAAAAGATAAATTATTTTCTTTCCATTCAAGGACAGTCCCTTGTCTGAAGTTTAATTGACCTATTAAAATTTAAGCATTTGATACTATTTAGAAAAGTTTTTAAATATGTTTGATATGAATAGATATAATTAGAAAATTTCCATAATATTGGCAATGAATTAATTATTTTCTCTCGTACCTTGCACACTGATCTGGCTTTATGACAAAATGTGTGTTCAATACCCTGGCCACCCTCAAAGGCCTTGTTTCTATTTATGCTCATGTGGTTTACCAACTCTGGGAACGAAGCCGTAGGGTACATTGTGTTTCACAGTATGCTCTAGTGAGGGGACAACTCTACAAATGAAAAGTGTCACTTTAAAAGATTACAAAATTATACTTAGTTTTAAGAGATTGGCATGTTCAGCAATTAGTTTTTCTTTAGATTTGATAAACTCCCCCACCCTTTTTTTTGGATAGTAGTTTCCAGGATGCCAATACCCATCAATCTGATCATTGAAACAAAAAATGTGAGGTCATTTTCCATATAGTTTTACAGAATCTCACCTGAAATTGTCTTCTTTTAAATTTTTCCTACATAATTTCTAGAGTGAAAGAAATGTATAGGGTACATTGTGTTTCACAGTATGCTCTAGTGAGGGGACAACTCTACAAATGAAAAGTGTCACTTTAAAAGATTACAAAATTATACTTAGTTTTAAGAGATTGGCATGTTCAGCAATTAGTTTTTCTTTAGATTTGATAAACTCCCCCACCCTTTATTTTGGATAGTAGTTTCCAGGATGCCAATACCCATCAATCTGATCATTGAAACAAACAATGTGAGGTCATTTTCCATATAGTTTTACAGAATCTCACCTGAAATTGTCTTCTTTTAAATTTTTCCTACATAATTTCTAGAGTGAAAGAAATGTTGCACAAATGTTTTTATTACAAAATCAGATTTTAGTGTTATTATTACTAGATAATGAAACTCTTTTAGGGACGTATTCTGTACCCCGTCTTAACTTTAGTGTGGAATTTTATATTTACTTGAGTATGTGTACATGTATATGCAAGCATTTTAAGAATGAATTCTTCTTTGTATCAAGTATCTGTTACATACCAATCCCCTTTGACCTTCATGTAGAAACCTGTATACAGTTCAGCAAGAATGTGTTGAGCCTCTATTATACATTGGCTTTGCTAGACTCTAGAGAAATTAACATGAGTAATACATGGAAACTTCTCTCTAGGTGATAGAAGTACAGTCTGTTTAATTCTGAAAATTAGAATGTTTGTGTCAAGGACCGTTTAGAATAGTGTGCGTGTGTTCAGTCACTCATTCATGTCTGACTCTTTGCAATACTAATAGTTTTGTTCATTATTTTTAAATTTGTTATTAACTCCCTACACATCAAAAGATATAGTTAAAATAAGACTTCATTTCGACTTCTATAGCATTTGTGTTATATGCCATTCATTTGACAACTGTTTGTGTAATATTTTGTGAAAACACTTCAGTTGTTTTATTGAGGAATTATTTACTTGATATTAAAATTTAATGGTTCACATACTACTGTATTATTTCTAAAACAGTCTTCAAATACAACATTGCGGGATTTATGGTATTTTCCCTGGTGTCTCAAACAGTTAAGAATCTGCCTGCAGTATAGGAGACCTGGATTCAATCTCTGGATCAGGAAGATCCCCTGGAGAAGGGAATGGCAACCCATTCCAGTATTCTTGCCTGGAGAATTCCACGGACAGAGGAACCTGTTGGGCTATAGTCCAGGGGTAGCAAAGTATCAGACACGACTGAGTGACTTCCACACATATGTATAGTAAATGTTGGGCCTGTTTTCAGACTCAGTTTAAATGAATAATATCAGTAATTTTAAGTATAAGAATTTGTTGTCCCCAATAGAAATTATCTGTTTAGGCTTGTAGGTAGCAGAGAAGCAGCGTGTAGGTAAATGAAATTTTCCCTCTTAAGGGAGATCTTTAGAGGTCAGTGTCTTGGAAGAGACAAGAAGAATTATAACAGTGGAGTTACGTAAAGCAAAAGAAGGATATGGAGTTATATTTAACCATGGAATTCAGACTTGATTGGGCTCTTTAAAAGTTTAACATTTCTAAAATGTGGGAGGTGGGAACGGATTAGTCTACAGAAAAAAATGAGGAAGACTCATTATGAGCATGACTTTGTAAGGAAGTTAAAGAGAGCTCTTTAACACTTTGCAAAGTTATAATATAACTAGGATATTGGAATTGATGAAGTCTTACATTTTCTTGTACTCCTTTGTATGTGAGTGTGCAGACGTGTGTATTACGTTATGTACAATCTGGTCACTTGTGAGGGTTTGTGTAGCTAACATCACAGTCAAGATATCAAATAGTATCAACCCCACAAGGATCTCTCTTGTTGCCCTTTTATAACAACAACCACCACCTTCAGGAACAACTCTTGTCCAATAACTAATCTCTGCTGCTGCTGCTGCTAAGTAGCTTCAGTCGTATCCGACTCTGTGCGACCCCATAGATGGCAGCCCACCAGGCTCCCTGTCCCTGGGATTCTCCAGGCAAGAACAGTGGAGTGGGTGGCCATTTCCTTCTCCAATGCATGAAAGTGAAAAGTGAAAGTGAAGTCGTTCAGTCATGTCTGACTCTTAGCGACCCCATGGACTGCACTAATCTCTGGCAACCACTAATTTCTTTAAAAAGAATGTGTTTATTTACTTGGCTGCGCCAGGTCTTAGTTGTGGCATGGGATCTTCATTGCATCGTGAGAAATCTTTCATTGTAGTGCATGGCTCCTCTCGTTGTGGCCCCGCAAGCTTCATTGCCCTGCAGCATGTGGGATCTTAGTTCCCCAGCCAGAGATCAAACCCACGTCCCATGTATTGCAAGGCAGATTCTTAACCACTGGACCATCAGAGAAGTTCAGAACTATACATTTCTAATCTACATTTCTAAAATGTTGACATTTTTAAAATGTTTTGAAATGGAATCATACAGTACATTCCCTTTTAGTTTGGAATTTTTTCCCATGCAGTCTAATTCCCCATAGATTCATCCAGGTTGTGAATATGAAGTCTGTTCCTTTTCATTGTTGAGCAGTATTCCATCATATTCATTGGGAGGACTGATGGTGAATCTGAAACTCCAATAATTTGGTCATCTGGTGGGAAGAACTGACTCCTTGGAAAAGACTCTGATCCTAGGAAAGATTGAAGGCAGGAAGAGAAGGGGATTAAAGAGGATGAGATAGTTGGATGACATCACTGACTCGATGGACATGAATTTGAGCAAGCTCCAAGAGTTGGTGATGAACAGGGAAGCCTGGTGTGCTGCAGTCCATTGGCTCGAAAAGAGTCAGACACAACTGAGTGACTCAACTTAACTGATTCCATGATAAATATGTACCATAGTTTCTTTAAGCATTCACCTATTGAAAGATATCTGGGCTGATACCAGTTTTTGCTATTAACATTAACAGTTTTGCTATTAACATAAAAACGCTATGAACATTCATGTATATATTTTTGTCTCAACCTAAACTTTATTTCCTTGGAAAAACAATGAAAAAGAAAAGTAACGGAAGTGTAAGGGAAATGCAAAATTAATTTCAAAAAAAAACGCCAAAACTTTTTCCAAAAGAAACGGAACAATTTAAAAGCCCAACGCCAATGTATGAGTGATCAATTTCTCCACATTATTATCAACATTTGTTATTGTCACTATTTTATTTTGTCATTTTTGGACAGGTGGGTAGCAATATCTTGATGTTGATTTAATTGAAATCTCTAACAGCCAATGATGGTCCAAATCTTTTCATGTGCTTATTTGTCTGCCATGATGCTTTGAATTTCCATACTAATTCCTGTATACTCATTACAAATCAAAAGTTATAACTTTGATCAGCTTATCCTGATCAAGAAAGTTAATAGATATGTATTTATGTGTGAGAAAATCCTAAATTCTCAGCCTGGCCTTAGAAAACCCTTGTAATCTGTCTCTAACAAACCTGTTTAGCCTCAGTGATTAAACTCAGTGATTCATGTATGTTGCAGTTTCTCTAGAGAATATTTATGTAATATGGATTTGCAACCAGAAGTGAGGAAGCAAAATAAGGGAACACAGCACAATTTCTCAATAGATGCTATCTTAAAGTTTCCAGAGATGATGCAAATATATAATAATTAGCATAAAGAAGCATTATTATTTACTAAAGAACATTAATTTTCATAGTTAACATCCTTTTAATAGTAATATGTTTCATTGCTGCAAAGTTTGCTTTTAAGCATTCCCAAAACATATTTCATAAAATGTACTAATTTAAATATTTTTAAAAATTTTTGGCATGCCATTAGTAGTTGTTTTAATGCAAAATACTCTCCCATATTTTAGCACATTAAGTTAGACTTCTTGGAAATTACTAAAAAAGAAACTCAGCACCCATTTTTTCCCTCAAAATTAATACTTTGGTTAGTCTGAAATTGTCCAGTTTTTATATTTACTTCTGATTAATCACGCCTATTTCTGTCAATACCTTATTTCTCAGAGTCCCAAACTGGCACATTGAGACCAGAAGGATTTGTTACAGTCAGATTAGAAGGACTATTGAATGCCCTTCTAATTTGAGAGTATTTTTCCATAGGCAGTAGGTAGCTATTAATATTTTGTTTGGAGAAACATGATCAAAGTGATATTTTTAGATGTTTCAGGTGAGTACCTAGAAGTCAAAGGGAGCACTTAAAGGACCTATGAACCATACTCCAGCGAATTTGAATCAAAACACCTATGAACCATACTACAGCAACTTTGATCAAATAGGTAAATAGTTAATGGAAGAAAAAAATAATACATGGGGAGAAACAGAGAAGAGAAACAAAACATATTTGGTAATTAAGACTAAGTAGGAGTCAAGAAAAATTCAGTTCTACTTAAACCAGAAAGAGACAAAACTAGTCTAGTTTGTTAGACTGAGTTAGGTTTGTTTATTTACATATGCTGTGCTTAGTCACTCAGTTCTGTCCAACTGTTTGGGACCCCATGGTCTGTAGCCCACCAGGACCCTCTGTCCATAGGGATTCTCCAGGCAAGAATACTGGAGTGGGTTTCCATGTCCTCCTCCAGGGAATCTCCTCAACCCAGGGATTGAACTCAGGTCTCCCACACTGCAGGTGGATTCTTTACCATTTGATCCACTAGCGAAGCCTGTTGATTTAGATACAATTTTTAAATGCCTTTGAGGGTGGATGTGGTCTAAGGGTCAATGTATTATTATTTTTTATGTATTTATTTTTGGCTGTGCTGAGTCTTCGTTACTATGTGCACTTTTCTCTAGTTACGGCAGGTGGAGGCTGCCCTGTAGTTGCAGTAAGTACACTTCTCACTGGGGTGGCTTCTTTTGTTGCAAAGCATGGGCTGGAGGGCACATGAGCTTTAGTAGCTGCAGCCTGTGGACTCAGTAGCTGCAGCTCCCAGGCTTTAGATCACAGGCTCAATAGTTGTAGCCAACAGGCCCTGTTGCTGCATGGCATGTGGGATCCTTTCAGATCAGGGATTGAACCTGTGTCTTCTGCATTGATTGGTGGAGTCTTTACCACTGGGAGCCCCCCAGGGAAGCCCAAGAATCAATTTTTTAAACATGTTTATTTTTAATGTGAAAATAAAATCCAAATAAATGGAAACAGTATTTTTTTAATAGAATGATCCTTTGATGAGAAATAAGAGTTGGAGATATAAATGTGGAACTCCTCAGCTTATGTTGTTCAGTCACTCTGTCATGTCTGACTCAACTTTTAGTTAACTGATGCCATGAGCAAAGACATATCTATGAGAGACAGGAAGAAAAAGAAGTAAGATGGAAATAGAAAGAAAGAAAGAAGTGAGCAGGATAAAGAACCAGCATTCATCAAGAATTGTTCACACGTAAAATATGGGAAGAGAATTCAGCATCAGTAGAACTGACAAAGCAGTGTTTCAGAGCAGGAGAAAGAGAAATCAGCTCATCTCATGTATGGAAACCAAGAGGAGAAGAGTTTTAAAGATGGAGTGTATGTTCAACAGGGTCAAATACCTCATTACAGTGTATGGTAGAGTAAATGGGGGATTACCTGATGGCTCAGATGGTAAAGAATATGCCTGCAATGTAGGAGACCTGGGTTTAATCCCTGGGTCCAGAAGATCCCCTGGAGAAGGAAATGGCAACCCACTCCAGTGTTCTTGCCTGGAGAATCCCGTGGACAGAGGAGCCTGGTGGGCTTCATAGTCCATGGGGTCACAAAGATTCGGACATGACTGAGCGACTAACACTTTGACTTTCACTTTGTGAAGTAAATGGAGAATTTGCATTTGACAGATATCATATCATGCATAGAACTCAAAGGCAGAAGAAGAAAAATTTCAGAAAAAAAATTAATAATGTTGGTTCTTAGAAGATGCTGTTTTTCAGTCACTAATTCATGTCCAACTCTTTGCGACCCCGTGGACTGCAGTTTGCTAGGCTTCCCTATCCTTCACCATCTCCCAGAACTTGCCCAGACTCATGTGTGTTGAATCAGTGAGACTGGTTCTAAATGAGTCAGTCAGGATGCTGAAAAATAGAAGAGAATAAAAATGATGGATAAAACAGGAGATAATATGTATATATTATATCTCCTGTTTAAATAAGCCTGGCAATAGTTGAAGCACTATGCTAAGAGTTATCTCTAAGCAGAAATATAATGATCCCTGGAAATTATCCCTCTCTGGGGATTAATGAAATGAGACTTTACAAGGTTAAATAATTTGCCTTAATCCATATGTATAGTAAATGCTGGAACTGTTTTCAGACTCAATTTAAATTAATAATATCAGTAAGTTTAGGTATAAGAATTTGTTGTCCCCAAGAGAAATTATCTCATAGGTTTGTAGATAGCAAAGAAGCAGACTGTAAGGAAATGAAAATTTTCCCCCAGAGGGAGATTTTAAAGATCAGCGCCTTGGAAGAGACAGGAAAAAATTCAAACAGTGGAGGTAGGTAAAGCAAAAGAAAGGTATGCTATTACATTTAACCGTGGAATTCAGACTTGATCAGTCTTTTTTATCTATAGAATTTAACATTTCTAAAATATAGGAGGTGGGAATGGATTAGTCTGAGAAAATGAGGAAGACTCATTATGAGCATGACTTTGTAATGGAATTAAGAGAGGATCAAAAGCTTTGAAGTCCAAATGAAATAACATTGAGATTATTTGGACCAAGTCTTCATGGTTTTCTCAAGAAACAGTGCCACCTGCCTAAAGCAGATTTAAAGAACTGAGGGGAAAAAAGTAATTTGAATTNCATTGAGATTATTTGGACCAAGTCTTCATGGTTTTCTCAAGAAACAGTGCCACCTGCCTAAAGCAGATTTAAAGAACTGAGGGGAAAAAAAGTAATTTGAATTTGCAAATTAATAAAGCTAATCTTGGGGGAGGCTCCTACCTATGATAGTGGGGTAGCTTTGCCCTACCACGTTTATACTGCTCACTGGTAATAAATTCTCTACCATGCATCTCAGTATCAAAGGACAGGAAAGAACAGGGTAAAGAGACTTTGTATCACAACTCTTGCTATCCAAGAAAAGGGAGAGGAAGAGTACAGATTTAGATTGTAAACAGTAGTTTTTCTCATCCATGAACCAGTTGTTGTCAATATTGGATTCTTGAAGATTGATCTGAAAGGGTGAAAATGTAGATCTGTGTAAGAAGGTTGTCAGAGAATCAGTCAATTTTGGTTGAAAGAATCAATGAAGAGATGACAAGCCTAGAACAGGAAACATTTGAATGTCCAAAACTATTGATAGGACCAAGATCAGCTAAGAGATTGTAAAAAAAAAAAAAACAGGAAGTACAGTTGTTATTAGTTTTGGTGACTTAAAATTTGTTATCATAGAGGTGAACTTATCTAAGTTCACTCGGAATTTATCAAAATATAATGTAACCCAATAAACATGCTAAGTATCCCACTGAGGGTTTATTGAGAACATTAATAAAATATATTTTGCTCTATAGGTTTCTTATTTTAATCAACTTAGTTTTAGTTATCAGCACAAAAGAAAAATTTATTTGTTTTTAGAAGCAACTGTCTGATTATGTCCATATTCCTCTTATTATGGTAATTGTGTTATTAAAATATAAAATATTCCATCTAAATACACGTATTAAAAAAGATCATGTAAACAAATATAATCTTAATGTAGACTTAAAATTCTAAATGATATCAATATTTTTGAAAATGTGGTCCTAATAATGGAGGTATATTTAGTGATTATATTCTTCTTGAAATATTGATTTTTAAAATTATGTTGATAATAGTGATATCATATGAGGTCATAGCCACATCATTTTGGACATTTCAACTGATGTCTCTAAGAAAAAGTCCTATCTAAGATAATGAGGCATTTTTTCCTAGAGAACAGCCACATGCAAACTCTAAAAATATCAAATCACATATACTTAATATCTCCTATTTAGGAGGTGTTTGAAATTACAGACTAAGTTCCAATTTTTTTCTTGCAAGCCTAAGATTGCTAAATGAATACTATGTGAACAATGACATTCATTTTTTATGATGACAGGGAAATAATCAGTGACTTAGTTGGTCTTCCAAATTTCCATTTGGAAAATAAATATTTTCTCCTAAAAATGTCTTTTCAATTACACATGGTTGAGAAGAGATATTAGGGGGAAATCTCAGCCAAGTGTGGGTGAATTGCTTAAACCGTGCATTGATTACTATTAAGCAGCTCTTATTTGAATGCATATGATCACTTTAACCACAGGCTCCATTTTCTGTCTCCTATCAGCAGTTGCAGCCTCCAGCGATCAAAGCCAGATTCCTATAATTGCTGTGTCTGTGACAGTGGGAGTCATTTTGTTGGCAGTGGTTATCGGCTTCCTCCTCAGTGGAAGGTAAGACAGGAAGCTGTGCTTCTGAACTTTTGCAGCTGATCTCTGCCTTACCTTGATCTGACCGTTTGACTGTTAATCACATCCCAAAACAAATCAGGCAAGTGATATATCATTAGATAGCCTCTGTGTAGGATATATTTCTTAAGCTTTACCTTGTCCGTGTGAGTGCTAACTTTTAAGCACACAATTTCTCTTTGCCAGGTATATTCTCTTCACATGAATAGTATTAACTTGTTATTATTTATTATGTTGTTAATATAACCATATCTTTTCCTGATATAGTTTATTTTAACCTGTTTTTTTTCCTCTCAAAAGTATTTGTCAGTATATCCTCTCAAAGGTTTCAGTTGTAGTGTTTAGGAAGGCCTGTGTCTCTGCTTATTATTTGAGAAGAATAAGACTAATAATTCCAGTTTAGCCAGCATTCTATCCTAACAGGGTGATGGATACTCTGACAAACAGGCATTTTGAGAAATCACCACCCCATTTTTATGACTGCCTTTAAATTCAGCTTCTGAGTGATTTCAACCTGAAAATATCAATCAGAGTGTCTACTGATTTAAAGTGAATTTTATTGAATATTATATCAATAGATACATTAATATGTGCATTAAATATCTACATTTTTCACTTTGAACAAAGAAGCAGAGCCTCCAATAAGAGTTCACGGGGAAGGTGTTTCCTGACATTGGTCAAAGCATAATCAATCTTTCTAAAAATAAATAAATAAACGAAAGCATGAGTGTGTTCTATTCCTGCAACAAACATATTTCCGTTTTTCATCCAGGCCACTGTTAGAAAGGATATTCAGTAATGAGAGCTGTCCATTTAAAAATGCTCTGATGTGAGACTGTTACAGAAAACCTGATAAGTCTTCATGAAAGTATTAAAACCTAAAGAAATATTTGAAAATATACTATGACTCAAAAAAGTCAAGAAATCAATATTCATATTGGTTTTGTACTGTTTTACTCATTTACTTTTGACTCTCCGGCACCTATTCAACCAATAAATATGTAGAATTAGACATTTTCAGTTATCCTGCATATTGTATTATGAAAAGATTTATGACTACTTTATTTTCATAAAATAAATTTCATAAAACACTGTCACTTCCTTTGAACATCCTTTTTCTTTCCCCCGAATTCTCTTTCTTCTAGTTCTTGTTCATTTATGAGTGTTCAAAGTTTTCTTAAGAAATCATTGCTTGCTTTTACTATTAGAATAGCAGTGATTCACTTTCAGAATTGCTAGCTGGGAAGCAGTCTGTGTTCTATTGAGGACTGCCAGCCCTGCTCAAGCCAGAGCCTGGCTGGATCGTGTCCCAATGATCTATTCTCTCTGAAGTCACTTAGGGAGAATGCTCTACTTTTGTCCTTGCTTTCTGGAAGAGAATCTAACTCCACCAGTCCTGTCATAAAAACTTTGCTTAGATTTTGATCAAGTAAAGTAATTGATTTGAGTGAATTATAACTACTAAAACAACTATGATGATATAATCTGTCTTTTCTACCCAAAAGGGTGGTTGACTATCATACATTTGCAGAGCTGGTTTGTGATATCAGTTATTTACTTGTGACTGAGATGCTGGTTGGCCTATTTCTTTCCAGTAAATCCAAAAGTGTTACTCAGGTATAGGCACATGGGAATCATAAGAAGACATTATTTGTCTGGTCCACTGAATAAAAATGGAGGAAAGGGGCAAGGTCTAGAGATCAATATGTTTGTGTGTTTGAAGATTTATTAGAGAGCAGATAAAATACAAGAAGCATTTTACTGTAGACTTACAGTTTATCTATGTAACCTAAGTATTGTTAATGTGAATTTACTGATGACATTCAGCTAGGGATCCTCGCTGACCTATATATGAATCAAACACTTTCCCCTACCCCCATTTTTTCCTTAATATATATAAAACTGACTTAAAAGCAATTCACTTCGTTACATCTGCAGCATTAGACAAAGTGAGAGAAGTTTCAGTATACCTACTGCTTGGTAACTGAAGAACAGTATAGCTTTAGCATGCATGCACACACGTATACAAATCCATATGCATTAGAAACTACCATACAAGAATAACTAAATTTTAGTGTCTAGAAATATTTAGTGTATTTCTCAGTTCAATTAAAATGATATCAACCCCTAAGAAGAGAAGCTTAATTTTCAGCATTATTAAACCCAAATCTTGATAATTTTGGATATAGTGTATTGCAGAAGTATATTACTTTTTAAAAAATAGCAGCAATTATAATTTGGACACTGTTATGTTGAGACTAGGAATTTACAGGTTAAAGGAAAACACACTTTACTAAAAATTAATCTGAGATTTATATTTCTTTACCAGCAAATTTTCTGCATGAAACTTTAATTGCTTCATTTTATTGGATGTGCATTCTTGAATTTCAGGGAGCATTTGTCTTATGATAGAAATATCTCTGGCTATTTTATTTTACTTTTCATGAGCTTAAATAGACTTTTTTAGAAGTTAAATGATACGAGTCTAAAGGGACTTTTCATATCTCATTCAAGGCAATTTTTTGTTGGGACTAAGAAAATCTTATCTACCTTGTAGTACCTGGAGTATACGGAATTAATAAAGTTTTGTCAAATTAAAGAAAAACTAAATGAAGAGATATGGGCAAAACCTAACAAAAATTTGGGGAATTATCTTTAAAACACTAGCAAATTACTGAAAAAAGTCTGTACTAGGAATGGTCAAAGGACATTGACATTGAATTATACATATTTCTCCTTATGCTAGAATATGTTTGATGAACACAAAAATATAGTAGCATTTAGACTCCAACCTCACTTTGAACTTCTCTTTTATCACCTTTTAACTTCTTGAATATTTTATAAACCAGATATTTGCTCCTGGTTAAAAGCTCTGTTAATTACAAATAATTTAACTTCTCAGTGGTGATAAAGACTTAAATTTGATATATTGCAAATATATTACTATCTGTATGTGATATTCACTGAAGTTTATATACCCCCATTTTTTCCTTAATATATATAAAACTGACTTAAAAGCAATTCACTTCGTTACATCTGCAGCATTAGACAAAGTGAGAGAAGTTTCAGTATACCTACTGCTTGGTAACTGAAGAACAGTATAGCTTTAGCATGCATGCACACACGTATACAAATCCATATGCATTAGAAACTACCATACAAGAATAACTAAATTTTAGTGTCTAGAAATATTTAGTCTATTTCTCAGTTCAATTAAAATGATATCAACCCCTAAGAAGAGAAGCTTAATTTTCAGCATTATTAAACCCAAATCTTGATAATTTTGGATATAGTGTATTGCAGAAGTATATTACTTTTTAAAAAATAGCAGCAATTATAATTTGGACACTGTTATGTTGAGACTAGGAATTTACAGGTTAAAGGAAAACACACTTTACTAAAAATTAATCTGAGATTTATATTTCTTTACCAGCAAATTTTCTGCATGAAACTTTAATTGCTTCATTTTATTGGATGTGCATTCTTGAATTTCAGGGAGCATTTGTCTTATGATAGAAATATCTCTGGCTATTTTATTTTACTTTTCATGAGCTTAAATAGACTTTTTTAGAAGTTAAATGATACGAGTCTAAAGGGACTTTTCATATCTCATTCAAGGCAATTTTTTGTTGGGACTAAGAAAATCTTATCTACCTTGTAGTACCTGGAGTATACGGAATTAATAAAGTTTTGTCAAATTAAAGAAAAACTAAATGAAGAGATATGGGCAAAACCTAACAAAAATTTGGGGAATTATCTTTAAAACACTAGCAAATTACTGAAAAAAGTCTGTACTAGGAATGGTCAAAGGACATTGACATTGAATTATACATATTTCTCCTTATGCTAGAATATGTTTGATGAACACAAAAATATAGTAGCATTTAGACTCCAACCTCACTTTGAACTTCTCTTTTATCACCTTTTAACTTCTTGAATATTTTATAAACCAGATATTTGCTCCTGGTTAAAAGCTCTGTTAATTACAAATAATTTAACTTCTCAGTGGTGATAAAGACTTAAATTTGATATATTGCAAATATATTACTATCTGTATGTGATATTCACTGAAGTTTATATCATCATTTGGGCATGGGAGAACGTATGTCTTGAAGGTACATCAGTCAGTTCAGTTTAGTTGTTCAGTCTTGTCCGACTCTTTGCAACCCCATGGACTGCAGCCCCACCAAACTTGCCTGTCCATCAGCAACTCCCGGAGCTTACTCAGACTCATGTCCATTGAGTCAGTGATGCCATCCAACAATCTCATCCTCTGCCATCCCCTTCTCTTCCCGTCTTTCCCACCATCAGGGTCTTTTCTGATGAGTCAGTTCTTCACATCAGGTGGCCAAAGTATTGAAGTTTCAGAGATAAATAAAAGACTTTTAAACCAAAATCATTTTTTTTTCATGGTAATTTTTTCCTTTTGGAAAAAATGGTGGTATTATTCATTAATTCAAGAAGTATTTGGCTTCTTATTAAATGCCTGTCATAAATCTTCTGTTAGGAAAAACAACGGCTTGGTGCTAAAATATGCTGGATCTAGAAACTTTTCTTCAAGCTCTTTTGTAGCCAAATAAGATAATTGTACAGGCATTTTGAAGGCAGCTATTTAGTTCAGACGAGTGCCAGAGCTCTGCCCACATTTTATATAAAAGCACAATAACTTCTGAAATGAATCCTTTTTATAGGATATGAAGTATTCTAAAACCTTCAGAGAAGCATTTTTGCCTAGTGGAAGCAACACAATAATAATATTGATAATAGTAAGTTTAATATTTTCTAGATGAATGTCATATGACCTGCTAGTAGGCACTGTTCCAAGGACTTCAAATGTAATACCTCACAGCTCCTATGTCTCATTATTAGCTCTATCTCCAATTTATACTTCATAAAAGTTATCTCCTTGATGTTTCTTGAATATTATAAAAATAGCCTACCTGTAAGGCTTTTGCACCAACTCTTCTTACTGTCTAAAATTCTTT